CGTGATGTACTCTTAATCATTGTTATAACTTCATCGCTGATAAAATTGATATTCAAAATTTTGGTTATCACTTATACACCTGAATAATTATATTAAATATTTCTGATAGCTTACTGAAATCAACACATTTTTCATTACATAAGAAATTAAAATATATAAATATTTTCACTACATATAGCTCTTCTTAATAATATTCTCACTACATATGGTGCCGTGACAAAAGAAATAACTTAAAATCATTTAGTTCAGGTTGAGAATTCAAATAAAATGTGTGACCTATAGTATATTTGCTGCACATATGATTTATATTGTTGAAAATTTATGATAAATGATGGGTAATATGCCATGAAAGAGTAATTCTATTTTGGATAATTCAAAAATTCAATTTCATATGTATTGTTATATATATGTGCATATTTAAAGAAAGTTTTAAGATATTTGAATCAAAAGCTGATTTCAGAAATTTCATTGGATTGTGGTATGTAATGATAAAATAATGTTCAGCAGTATTAGAATCCAGAAGTGTTAATGATCAATGTACTTATATTGCATCACTAATTTGATATATGCATGGTTGAAGTTACAGGAGATCCTAATTAATTACTAAATTAAAAAAAACTTACCTTAAATTTGCTATCTACTCTTATATGCATGTTGGGTAAATGTATATGTAAATTATCAGAGAGAGTGCTAAGTGTTTGTGTAAAATAATGTAGATCTCAATAACATTAAAATAGAAATAGCAGATTGTAAGGTAATGCAACATAAGTAACTATATTTCTTCATCCATGTCAAAGCTTAAAGGTAGATCTAACACTGGTATGGCAACTTCCCTAGCTTCTCCTCTGCCCACATTTAGTGGCAACTTATCTGAAAATGTAAATTTCTTTCTTGATCAAATAAATAGTGTTGCTAATTCAGAAGTCAAACAACAAAAATCAGCGTTATACCTACAAAATTTGTTGTTTGACTTCTGAATTAGTATTTATTCGGCGTGTTGTTGTGTCTTAATTAGTGTTGCTAAATTAGAAAAATGGTCAGATGAAAAGAAAATAATCATTCTGAAAATAAACTGTAGGGATAAAGCTCTAGATTTCCTAATTAATGATCCAAGAGTGGCTAAGGAAAATAAATTTGAAAATTTAGAAAAATTATTAAAGAATAAATTTGCATGAGTTGAATCCTTTCAGGACATTCTACAGCAATTCTCAAACATTTCTCAAAAGTGTAACCAATCTGTTAGGGAATTAGCTGACGAGATTACTACAACAGCGACAAAATACATAAATGAAGATTCGGTTGAGGATTCTAGTTTACATAAATTAAAAGAGAAAATGAAGCTCACTAAATTTCTTGAGGCCCTCAGAACAGACATTAGGATTGAAATTAAGAAATTAGGTCCATCTTCCTTTGATAAGGCTGTAGAATTGGCAAGTAATATAGAAAATGCATTGAATGATGAGAAAACATATTTGAACAGTATAAATGTTGAGCAAAATTTAGAGATTAATAATCTTCTCAAAGACAGACTTGAACAGAATAAAATTATTCAGGAGCTAACAGATAAAGTAAATCGACTTTCTCAAAATAAGCCTATAAACACATCTTATACAAGAATAAATCACAATGCTTCTACATCTCAAAATTCTAGCAACTTTAATAGTGTATCTTGTCATATATGTAGCAAAAGACACTTAACAACAGATTGTTGGTATTTTCCTAGGCAAGACCAGCATAATTTTAGAAACAACACATTCAGGGGACACAGACAATTTCGAAACACTTGGTGGAGGAACTATCATCCTTACTGAAATAATAGTCAATACAAAAAAGGTCAGAATAAGCATTTAAACTAGCTAAGGATTCTTGCCAGATATATTACAACAAAAATTTTAGACCCCTTGCAGGAATCCGCAGAGACTGGGGTTATAAAGAACACCTGTATAGACATCATAATCCAAAAAAGATCCAGAGTAACAGCAATAATGTCCAACACAAGTTTGCAAAAAATAAAAGATGTAATAATAGAAACTCAACCAAATTGTTGATGTCTTGTAACTCAGAAAATTCTAATTATCTGCCAATAATCAAACTTAAAATTGGTTCTCAGACTTATGAAGCTCTTCTTGATACTGGTGCAAATTTATCTTTAGTCCAACCAGATGTTATTGAGGAAATTAAACAATTCACTAAAGTTGAATTTGTTTCTCGGATGGTAAGAATAAAAACTATTGAAGATTCATGCATTCCTTACATGTCTGCAATTAATTTAAAATTCAAAATTCAAAGTAAATGGTTCACTAATTTATTTTATGTCACCCAATACAATTGGAATTCTACTTATCAGATAATCCTAGGTTATGACTTCATTCAAAGTAACAAAATTTTGTTAGATTCCATAAATAAGAAACTCATAGTAGATAATACTCATTTGGACTTTGAAGAAAATTATCCCAATAAAAAATTAAGCAACTCAGTTAATGTAAGAAAAAAATTGTAATTTAAATTCATTAAGAATGGTTTCTAATATAACTGTCCAGCCAGGTCAATCTCAAATCATTTCTTTAGCTGTTCCTGAAGCTTTAAAACAATTTAAAGAAATTTTGCTTTCTCCAAAGCCATCACAAAATAAGTTCCATATCAATGAATCTTTACATATAGTTGATTGTCACAACCACATTCAAACTATTGTTGAAAACAACACCAATGAGAAATTAATTTTTAGGAAGAATTCTGTTATTGGAACTGCTGTGCCATTTCACTTTGAGGATATTGTTAGTCCCAAAAATCATGAGACTTTACAAATCAACACACTAAATCTGCAAGAAGTAATTAAACTTAGAAAAGAGGAATTAAATGTATCAGACTTTAAACTAGATCATTTAAATGAACAAGCAAAAAATGAAATGATAGAATTGCTAATGAATAACTGTGCTGTGTTTTCAAAATCATATAATACTTTAGGATCTACTGATAAAGTTGTACCAGAATTTAAACTTCTTCACAATTTCCCAATTCAAACTAGACCTTACCCTATTCCTAAAATTGCAAAACAGTATTCAACAAGAAATTGCAAAATTATTAAAAGCAGGCATAATAGAACCCTCTTCTTCAAGTTATAGTTTTCCTGTAATATTTCTTAGGAAAAAGAATTTACCTGGTGAAGATAAAAATGCACCAAAATTTCGTATGGTTGTAGATTATCGTCTATTAAACTGTATCACAGAATCATACAAAATTTGTTTACCAAAAATTTCTGAGATTTTGCATAACATTGCTGGTAGGAAATTGTATTGTGTACTGGATTTGAAGTCAGCCTTTTTCCAGATCAATTTGCAGGATTCTGATAAAGAAAAGTTGGCATTTTGCACCGAACTGGGTAATTTTCATCCTTGTAGACTTCCCTTTGGAGCTCGCAATAGCACTTCTTATTTCCATACATTAATTTCAAAATGCTTAAATGACATTAAAGGTAGTAATGTTCAATTTTTTCTAGACGACATTATTATTGCAGCTGATAGTATGAGTGAGTTAAAAGTAATTCTTCAAAAAGTGTTTGACAGATTAAAATCATTTAATTTAATTATAGATCCAGCTAAAGTGCAGCTCTGTAAATCTGAAATAACTTATTTGGGTTTCAATATTTCACAAGCAGGTTTTTCTCCTTCTGAAGAAAATATTTCAAAGGTTACAAGATTTCCTATTCCAAAGGATGTGTAAAACAAGTTCAGGCTTTTCTTGGCATGATGAACTATTTTAGACATTTAATCCATAATTTTTTGCTGAGATCACTCAGCCAATAGTACACTTAACTAAAAGACATGTTCCCTTTGTTTGGAATCAGGATTGCCAAGATGCTTTTGATAAATTACAATCAATAATGTTGGACAAACCAACTATAAGGAACATTGATGATAATCATGAGATATTTTTGATCACTGATGCTTCTAAAGTAGCTATGTGTGGTATTCTGTTACAAAAGATTGATGATAAATTCTTTCCTGTAGAATTTTATTCGAAACTTCTCACTCCTGCTGAGTCTAGATACCCATTGATCAGGCGTGAGCTTTATGCTATTTTTTTCTTCTGTCAAGCATTTTTATGAACATTTATATGGCAAAAAATTTACTATTTTAACTGATGCTAGACCACTCACTTTTCATATGCAGCTGGATAAGCAGCCTGACATTGTTGCCAGATGGTTGTTGTATTTACAGGATTTTGATTACTCTCTAAAACATATACCTGGTTTTTCCAATCCTGCAGATTTTTTTTCTAGAGTTCCTGAAGCATCTCATAGTGTAAACAATATCAACTTATTTCATTCAGATAATACTCAGTTAAGCATCCAAAATATAGTTAATCACCAAAGAAATGACAAAAATATTAAGGATATCTTAAGCCAAATTAACAATAATAAACCTGATATTTGTGGAAAATATTTTATTGATAAAAAAAATGGTGTAGTAATGATAAAATTAAGACCTAGAGCGCATCATTTAAAGACAAGGCATTTAGAAAATAAAATTCTACTTCCAAATTCTTTAGTAAAACCTTGTTTAGAGATTGCTCATGCTCTGCATTTTGGTACTAGTAAAACTTATGAATTCATTAAGAAAAAGTATTTCTGGAAGGGCATGTTTTCAGATACAAAACACTTTTGTGAAAAATGTCAACAGTGTTTGGAGAATAAACCAAGGTCATGTAAAACAATTACAAGCAATATAAAGAAAATCTGATTTAGCACCTGGAGAAATGTTAGCAATTGACATTGTGGGTAAATTGCCCAGATCACATGATGGCAAATTTTTCATTCTAACTATTATTGATCATTATTGGAGATATTTAGAAGCTATTCCTCTGGCAAATATTACATCTGCTACAATAATAAGGTGTATGAATCTTTATTTTTCAAAATTTGGTATTCCAAAAGTAATTTTATCTGATAATGCTTCAAATTTTTGTTCAGCTGAATTTGAAAATTTCTAAAAGATCTCAATATGGAACACCGAAAAAGCTCCATTTATTATCCACAGTCTAATGGTATCATAGAAAGAGTTCATCGAACTATGAAAGAAAGCATAGCTTCTTTATCCAATAAGGTAATCGAATGGTCAGATAGATTAGCTTTTTTCAAACTATATTGCAACAATTCTAAACACATAGTGACAGGTTTTACTCCTGTACAGTTATTTTTTGGGCGAGAAATCAATACACCTCTAGATACAAATAATGAACCGGCAACGGTAGATAATCCTTCACAATACTTGTTACGTCAGAGAGATCACATTAAAGCAACTAGAGAATTAGTGAAACAAAACGAAGAAAAATATTTTTCAGTCTCAAATAAAGTTGTTAAAGGCAGAGAACCTACCAAAATTTAATATTGGAGATGAGGTATTTTTAAAGGCTTTACAACCACCTCATGCTTTTCAGCCAAAATTCAATGGACCTTTCAAAATAATAAAAATTTTTCGAAATAAAAACTACTTAATTCAAAACATCGAAGACCACAAAACTAAAAAAATTCATTGTAGCAAATTATTTAAAAGAGTTGATCCAAGGTTCAATTTGATTAATTAAGAACATTTATTTCATCAAGCTTGTTTTTCTTGTTCACTAAGTTAGAAAAAATAAATAAATAGAAGACATACACACATTTGTAAGTGTTAGGAATTTAGTGGATTTATTTCCAACAAAAAAATTTTTTTTTGAGATTTCATGATTAGTTTGGGTGTCGGTTGGCCACCTTCACTCATACGTTTGGTTGGCTGCAGGCTGGTCCGGGTTGACTAATGTCATGGAATTTACAAAAAAAAAAGTGTGCACTACACTTAGTGATCATTACAAGTAACGAGCTAGACATGAAAATTGTGCTACTAAAACAAGCTTGAGTAGTAAAATATATATACATATATAACAATAATAAAAAGAGGAAGAAGAAAATTAATGTGTTAAAAAAATGAAATTGTAGAGTAATTGGTCTACATGAATTTAGTAATTTCAAGGGCAAATTGATGTCTTCCAGAAGAATTTATAGAATCTGTATAATTAGAAACTTGTCAAAAAAATGATCATTAATGCAGAGTTGTGTTTAACAGTGAAAATGTATGAATGTAAAAATAGGTATTAGCTTACAATTTCCATTTACAAAGAGAAAATTGTAACTTGACTACAGATTATAATGAAAGTGTATGCTGTAACTATATGAGTAACTTGTATGATATGTATTAGTTATTAATTTTTGATTGTACTTCATATGTGCAGCACTTATCCCAGACAGTGAAATTATGATAAAATAATTTTTGACTATTTTTCAGTTGATTTAACTATTATACCAGATCATACTTGTAATGAGTATTGTGCGTCAGTAAATTTATCGTGCAATGAACTGTGTTTCGGTGAAATTTATCAGGCAGTGTTCAGCGTCAGTGAAGTGCATTTATCATGCAGTGTTCAGGCCGGAGGGAATGTGCTAGCAAGCCGGCATCTATCATCAAACTACCGCTTCAAGAATCGTCATCGTTTCATCCAAGCCCTTGGTGGCAGTTGTTGGACCGGTTTTTTTTCTCTTTGCTGCTGGGAGTTCAAGGGTGAAGGACGGGCTTCGGCCTGTCTCTTCACTGACTGTCTCTTCACCTACAACCTCGTGTCATGATGCACGTTTAACTTTCCTGAAAAGTCCGATAACTGTAGTTTTTTTATTGAATATATTCATTCTATATGCAGTTGCTGAAAATTCATCCTGGGTGGAATGATGTTTTTAAACAAGAATCATAAACGATCTCATTGTGCAATTTAAGACTCATCCATTGTCTATCGCCACGTGGTGAGCTGCTCCAAATTAATTCACTGGTAGAAGCTTCAAAATCAAAAGAAATTTCAAGATAAGTATATTCCTGGTCTACATATTTCTTCGATTCCAGATATTTCGTGATTTATAGAAAGTGATGCAAATGGATAGTGCTCTGTAGTATATCGATAAACGAATGGACGCTCTGTATTTATAGTAGGACTATAGTTATGATCTGATATTTAATTTTCTTGTTTATTTGTGTGAGCTCAGCAATAAAATTTTTGATAGGAAAGATAAATAGAGTATATTGTAGATGAATAACTTGTATTTTCTTCTTCAACTATCACGAAGTCTGGGGTAAGTACTTTATTTTGCTATCCTCTGTAGGTTATACATTTTTATCCCTATCATTCGGGTTATTGCGGAAACAACGTGATGTACTCTTAATCATTGTTATAACTTCATCGCTGATAAAATTGATATTCAAAATTTTGGTTATCACTTATACACCTGAATAATTATATTAAATATTTCTCATAGCTTACTGAAATCAACAGATTTTTCATTACATAAGAAATTAAAATATATAAGTAATTTTACTACATACAAATATTTTCACTACACGCCATAATCAGACTTTCCAAATACTTCTAAGGATTTTCGACTGTCTTCGAGCACACCTTAGATATTACAAATAGATTTTGGCTTGCAAAGATATTCTAAAGCTATTAAAGATCTCAACGGAAAGCAGTAATACATATAGAAATTCACCGCAATTAAGATTCAAAATGGAAGATATAGACAAAAATTATGATGCAATTCAATTAAATTATATCACAAATAAATAGTAGATATCTAAGATAAAAAAATTAAAGTAAATAAATGAATGAATAAAAAAGAGCAGAAATCATTGACGAAAATCAAAAGATTGTGATTTTCGAGATTTCGTGATTCTCTCCAGCATGGTGTGGCGATCTAATGCATGGAATTTTGAAATAGAAATTAGCAATCGGAGACAAGGTTAAGTATAAGGATACAGCAGAATGCCCCGGGGAGCATTTATATGAAGTATGGTATGGAATGTTTACAGCCAAGTGTCTCTCGACATACCAAGTAAGTATTAGTCACCTGTTACCCACTTTCATCTTCCGTTTCTTCGTACAACCTTCATCTTGCATTACTTCTATCCAATGTCTTACATCCTTCATCTCCCTTTACTTCTATTACAGTACTTAGTACAAGGATGTAAAAATGACAAGATGTTGTAGAAAAGTATTAAATATTCACAGAAAGTATATTTTTAATATTACGCGTACTTCAAGACTGCGAGAAAAATATTTTCTGTTTTTTTAATAAAAATGGATTTCATTTTTTAGATGTAAGCTCGATATATAATATTATCAGATCATCATTCAATTATAAGCAGCTCATACAATATGCTATGATCACGCCGACTGATGTTAATAATTCTACAGCACAGATAAAACGAACTTTAAATACTTATCTTGAAGGAAACATAATTGAAAACTTCTAATGCGATACCGGAATCAAGAATATATCTTTAAAGTAATCAGAAAATAATAAATTTTAATTCCCTCGGGAAACATATTAATCTTCAAGGAAATTTCATCGAAAATTGCAATGGGTATTCCAGATCGTAAAAGAATTTTCTTCAAAAAGAATCGATTATAACGTAGAAAAATTTATGCATTATATCAAGAGTGAGTTTAATCAAAGCAGTATAGAAAAATGTTCAAAAGCGGATTATTTAAAGTTCTTTTCATAACATGTTTTAAAAGATTGTACTTAATAACAGTGATGAAATATCATCCGACGGCAGTTAGGATGTGAAGCGTTTTTAAGCAGCGGAGATATAAACGCTCTTATAAGATAATATGTCAGATGCGCTGCACTCTCGTTGAATGTATTAAAACTCGTATGCAGAGGAAATAATTAATATGCGACTCTTTTAAGCCAACGTTTGTACGTGAAATTTGACAAGCAGAAAGGATAATTTGTGTTTAAAGCACTGTGAGTTTAAGCATGATATGTTATGCGATATTTATTCAGTGTTTATTTTTGCCAAGAGTCTATATTGACTAATATTAGATATGATGATTATATTTAGCCATAAAAAATATAAAATAAATTTAATCGACCTGAAACGCTGATTAAAGCTATATTTTATCTTTAAATGTTAATAATAAAACAGCATAATCTGAAATGTTTCTAGAAATATTCCTTTAAAAATATTTATCATCAGTATTTGTAAAGGTTTACTATTAAATATCTTAGTTTCGAAATTTGTCTAAATCCAGGCTTAATAATAACACCTGCCTGCTGAATCTTTACTCCTCAAGAAACTATCTATCTCCTCAAGAAATAAAGCATTTTGTGTTTTATTTTAGTTACTGAATGAAACTTTATGTAATTTACAACACAAAATTAAAGTAAAGTTTTTACTTTCCATTCCCGTCTCATGTCACGAACAATAGTGTAGCATTTATAACATGCTCCAATCCATATGTTATATTATAAGTCTTTTTATGGTATTAAATCAGAACTATTCGCTCACTGAGCTGAACACACAGTTCTTTTTTATGGCTCACCGCTCGTTCACAATATCCCTGATGGAAAAGATCGGGAATGAGGAGTAGATCAAGATCAGTTAGCAAGATGGAATGAAGAGCTACATCGAGCGAGCGTGATTTCGGAAGAATTAACTCAATAAAACAGCTCCATGAACTGATTTTTTTTTTCAAACTATTGTTTTGATTTTCTCTAAAGTGTTCGTTCTACATAAAGCTAAACAACATAATTCTACAATAAAAATATTAAAAAAAATAGGAAATAATAAAATTTAAACTCACTTTTAACATGAGAAGGTAAACATGGCCTACCAGCGGCTGAGCGGTAAATTCGTTGGCAACCTAAGATTCGCTGAACAATCTAGTTCGAACAAGGATTGACTCCCGGCGAACGGTTGCTTTCCGTGGTTTTCCGCATAAGTAACATGGATACGAGCCAGTTTCCTTTAAAAAATTTTCCACAAAGGCATCTTCCTCCTTTTAGGCAGATAGCTCTCGAGTTGCTTTGCCAAATAAATTAACATAATCTAACCTTTCTAAATGTGAATCGAACTTCTATGGTGCACTTCCAGCAAGACAAAGAGACATTTGGCTCTAAAATAATGCTTTGCAAAAATATTGTTTATTAAAGTGAGACTGGGGAAGAAAGAGTCTGTTCTATAGTTGTGTATAGATTTTAAATATTTTCGGCAGACATAGTGAGTGGTACCTGCTTTCATAATTTTGCGTCGAATTCGGCTACATGTGACAAAATATTTGGAATTTTAAAAATAAACATGTAAGATAATATATAATCAAAATATGAAAATTTCTAGAAACATCCCCTTCTGCCCTTTTGTATAGGTTTTTATTACATTTATTGCCAATATTTATTTATTTGAAACAGAAGATTTCAAGAGTTTTTGCAGTCCAATTCTTAACTGCACTTTACTGAATATTATCCAAAAGAAAATAACACATAAATCATATGTAATATTTCCCCATTAGATTTCCAGCGAAT